TGTATATGAATATTTCCATTGGTAAATAACCAACGAAAAAGACAATTAAATTACATAAAAAGAATAAACAATAAAAAAAATACCAATAACATTGTTTGTAGTTTGTGTCTTCTGAAGTAAATTGAGAGACGTTTAATTCAAAAACATTAATTAAAAAATAGATATAATTAGTTAATTAAGTATAAATAGAATATTCATCTATTCTTCCTTGTTCAGAGAAGACTAATCACATCCCTGAGTTGTTTTTTAAAAAAGAGTAATCTTTTTGTTTAACCTATCATTTGGGTTTGTCTAGGAGCGTAAGAAAAGCACTTTTTTGCTTTATTTCTTCCTATTAAAATCTCCTCAAACTTCTTTCTGTTTATTTCTTCTTTTTATCTTCTTCTTTGATTTTTGCTTTAATTTTAAGAAAATTCATTTTTCTCTTTTTTTTATTTTATTTTACGAAAGAGACAAGAAAGCATTTGATTACCACTATAGTATTATGGTTAACTTCCTTTTAGTATTAACCACACTTTAGCAAATCCTTTTCCTTTGATAATATATACTTCTTAATTTCTTTATTAATAAATACCAATTTTTTATATTAAAAAAAAATAGATATAAAAAATAATAGAAAAGTTTTTGATAAGAAAGAAGAAATAAATAGGATAAACGAAAAAGGTTAAACAAAGAATAATTAAAATCCTCTTCAAAAAAAAATATTGAAATAGATTAGTAGATAATGAATTGTTCTGTATTGACCCTTTGCTTATTTATCATCATCGTTAGTGGATCATATAATATGTCAATTATTCTAGTCTCTCATCCAAAAAGAAGACCAGAACTAACAAGGTCAATAAGAGATTTAGTCGAAGCACTGAAAAATGTTCCAAAAGGATTGAATATTAAAGAATTTGTGATGGTCAAAGGATGTGTGAAAGGATGTAACTATAAAGAAATGGATGATGCCGTCGAGAAGATAAAAAAAGAACTTCCATCTATTCCAATTAAAACACCAACATATAACTATAAATCTATTGATGGTGTTAATGGTGAGGAATGGGTTCAGGACTCATTGTCTGCAGTTTGGGCAGACACAACTAAAAGTGATTGGGAACCAACAAGTTACAAAAAACATATAACGATTAACTTCTTTTTCATAGAGGAATTAAAAAAAGTTTACAATGATAAAAGTACGGATTATGTATTATTAGCAGAAGATGACCAATTATATGAGAAAGATACATTTGAACATATTCTCAAACTCATCCAAACAAGACCAGACAACCAATGTTATGCTAAAATAGCATGGTGTCCTTATAGGTGGTGTTCTCATTATGGACAAAAAAGGTTTACTGCTGACACATCAAAAGATTTTGCATGGGGAGCATGGGGAAATTTAAGGTCAAAAGAAGAATTAGGATTATTCTTGAGGTGGTTAAAATTCACAAGATTCTTTGAATCAGAAGATACATTAGGATCATTCATTTGTCAGGCACTTAAAAGAAATATTGAAGTTGATAATGTTTCATATCATTTTGGACATGATAGGACAATTCCAAAGTGATGGTATTATTTTAATTTAAATAAAATAAATTTATCATTCCATTGATTTTTATTATAATATAAACACTTGTTTAGATAAAAATAAAATGTTTATTGAATTTTAATTAAGAAAGTTTAATTAAATGTTGAATTTTTATTATAATTAAATGAATTGTATTGGAATTAAGTTTTTACTACTTTGTTTCTAATTAATTCAGATAGACTCATAACCTTTGTTAAAATAAGATACGAAATAATAGGATTTTATTCCTTTTATTTTCTTTATTATTTAAGTAAATTTATGAGTCATTTGAAACTCGAAGTATTTTTACTAAAAATAAAAGAAGTTATTCAAAAAGCAAAGAAATAAAATAAAATTTCATTTAATAAATGATGGTATTTTTCTTATTATTGTTTTTATATTTTATTTTTAGAAAAATAAAAAAATTGATAAATAAATTTAAATGTTATTTTATTTATTCATAAAAATATATAACTTCCTCTATCAAAAAATATTCCACTTTATATCATTATTTTTTTTCTTTATTTAATAAATTTCTGACATAATTATTTTAGAGTTTATATATTAATATAATTTATTTATTAATATTCTTTCATCAGACACTAAAATAATAGTGAAAATTCAGAATATTTTGATGATTATGTAATTGAAACAAAAAAAAATAAAAACAATCGTCACCTCTATGTTAGGATAATATGACTATAAAATAAATTTTATTTTTTATACGTTATACTTATTTCTTTGTATTTTGCATATTCATTGTAATTTACCTCTTTTTTACATATTTGAATGACGTTATTCAATAAAAAATGTAATATGGTATAATGTTTTCTGTATTAAAAAAGAATTGTTTTAATTTTTCAGAGTTATGGTAATTAATTCTAATTAAGTCGAATTGAATTATTGACACTTCCCTTGTAATAATTTG